ATACTACTCATTCTTTCTTCTGCCTCATTTATCCTAGCAGTAAGAGTCTCCATTTTTGATCGTACCTCATTAATAGGTTTTTTTATTTCAACTTGGCTAGGTTTTAGTTCTTTTATTTCTCCAGAAAGGACTTTTATTTCTCCCGACAAGGTTTCTCTAATATCTTCCATGCCTTTTTTGAGCCCAGCTAGCACCTTGATAATCATTATTCTGAACTCTAGTTCTGACATCTTACTAATGTCAGTATTGATTAGGTCCCTAGCCATCAGTACTGCCTCTTGTTTTTTTTGTTTTGTTTTGTTTTGTTTTTTTGAGGTAAGCTTTTCCACCTTGTCATTTATCCAGATAAGAGTAGATGAATGAGAGAACAAAATACTAAAAGGGTAGCAGCAATCCCTGAAAAATATACACTAACCAAATTAGAAGAGACCTGAAATTAGGGAGAGAAGAAAGGAGAAAAAAAAAAAAAGAGAAAAATATATTTTAGATTGGTGAAGGGAACAGAGCCATGCACTTGATCACTTGAGTTTGGGTGTATTTTTGTGTGTTAGAAGAAACTGCTTCCCAAAATTTTAAAGAAAAACTTATATATACATACAAAAATAAGGGTAAATACGATGAAGGATGGAATATGGCTGTAAAAATGAAAATTAAAAAAGATTCTAAGAAAGGTGTTGATAAGATAAGAAGTTGGTCGGAAAACAAAAACAAAAACAAAAAAAAAAAAAAAGGAAGAAAGAATGTGATTAGGCTGGAGAGTAGAACAAAGCCATGCACTATATTTAGGGTATATTTTGATCTGTTAGAAGAAACTGAATCCCAAAATTTTAAAGAAAAAAAAATATGTGCAAAAAATAAGGTTAAATATAATGAAGGGATAGAATGTGAGTATAACAATGAAAATTTGAAAAGATATTTTAAAAAGATGTTGATAAGATAAAATACTTAAAAATGTTAAAATCAGAAAGGAAAAATTAAAAAAAATAGCATAAGAAAAAAATATAATTGAAAAAAAAATTAACTTTGAAAGACTAAAGAATCATGTGAAAGGAGCCATGAATTCTATGTGTTGCATTGCCCTAGCTCTGGAGTTCTATGGTTCCCATTGATTGGTGAACTTGGTCTTGGCTGGATGTTCTTGCTGATCTTCTGGGGGAAGGGGTCCATAGCAGTGATTCTCAAATGTCTTTGCCCGAGGCGAATTGCACCTCCCTTGCCAGGGACAAGGCTAAGTAATCTGCTCGGGTTCACTCTTGGGAATTTTTGTTCCCTGAATGCTTACCATAGCACTTTAGAGGACAGGAATGAAAATGGTGGTGGCCCAATCTCTAGCCCTATAGGAGCTGAGAGCTCAAACCCCCACTCCTCAGTATGCCCTCAGATAAAAGCAGTCAATCCTCCCATCTCCCTCATCTCTGGCTGCGCTCCATGGTCACCTAGCTTGTGACAGAACATTTCTATCTCTGGCACATGGCCCTGTTTGGAGTCTCCAAATCCAGCAGATTCCTGCAATGTGCTCCCATGCCACTCCCCCTGGGGGAGGCAGGTGGGGATCTCCCCAGATCTGCCACATTTGAGGTCCCTGCTTGGAGAGCAGTGCCTTGGATCATGGTTTAAGGTAACCTTGAGCTGAGAGTCCACTCCTTGTCTCCATCTTTGCAGCCGGCTTCCCTGCTCCAATACCTGGGAGCTCTGCCACACTAAGACATTCCTGGTCTTTTTGTGACCCCATGGATCCTGAGACCAGACTGTTCCTATGAGGGCTTCACCCCTTAGCCTCTGGAGCGACATCCCTCAGTGGAGCAGACGTCTAAAAGTTCCAATTTTGTGCTCCTCTGCTCTCTCACTTGCCGGGAGCTGGCCCCATCCCCTGTGGTCTCTATTCCCATATATCACCTCAGATTTACTTCTCTGCATGTCGTACCTTCCAGAAAGTTGTTGATTTTCTTTTCCTAGAATTGCTGCTCTTCTCTTATATCTCCTATTGAGTTTTTAGGTGTTCAGAATGGTTTAATAACTATCTAGCTGAACTCCTGGGACACGACAATATTCAGGGTCCTTTGCCATCTTGCTCCTCCCTCTGTAGGAAGAATTCTAAAGATGTTCCTCCAAAATTCCTGTCCCCTAATTATTCAATTAAACATTAATCTAGGTATTGCTGCAAAGGGACTTTGCAGATGAAACTAAGGTTGCTAATCAGGGAATATTAAGATTGAGAAATTATCCTGGGCACATTTTTTAATTCTAAAATAACCAGTAAAAGAAAAATGTAAAAAGTACATAGTTGTCATGACAATAAAAGAAAATGGAATAAGAAAGAATGATCAATCCAAAGGATGGCAAGAAAGGAGAAAAACTGGCATAAAAGGGACTAGGCAAGCAGAAAGTCAATAGGAAGATGATATGTGACAACCCAGCTATATTAATAATTTCAAGTTGACTAAAAGGCCCCCTTAAAATACAGAGATTATTAATATAATTGCAAATAAATATAAACCAAATGATATTCTTTGAAATTAGTTGGAATATTTTAAGGCCTAGGACATGATGATTTTGTTAATGTTTCATGAATGGTTGGGAAGAATGTTAAGTTCTCTATAGTCAATTTAGAATTGTATGGATGTTTAATGCGTCAAACTTATTTGAGTCATTCAGTTATCTTATATTTTTATTATATTTTGTCTGAATTTTGACCCATCAATAATTATAAAAGGTGTGTTCAAATTTCCAACTCTGGTGGTGCTTATGTCATTTTCCCCTACATTCCTATAATTTTTGTTGATATATTTTTAGTATACTTGGTTATATAAGCATGTGTTTAGAATGAAACTGAGGAAATTGTTATTTTGACATCTCCCCTCTTCAGGACTTCCATAATATTAATATTGGCAAATACTGTTAAGTTAAAATTTAATTCTGGGTTATTAGAAATACATACTGTCATTGTTTCATTTAGTCAATTTTTCCTACATTAAAAAAATCTTTCCCAAGATATTTGATTATGATTACTTCCAATGTCATTTACCAGTATCTCCTATTTCCCTTATCATTTGGTTGCTTCTGTGAAATACCTTTCCAATATGGATCTTGATGTCAAACCTTCTTTGAACTTATATACTTAATAAAAAATTTAATGGACAGCCACATGCAGCTACATGCAGAAGATTGAAACAAAACCTCTTTCTTACACCATATACAGAAATAAACTCAAATGGATGAAAGACCTAAATGGAGACAGAAATCCATCAAAATCCTAGAGGAGAGCACAGGCAGCAACCTCTTTGACCTCAGCCTCGGCAACTTCTTGCTAGACACATCTTCAAAGGCAAGGGAAACAAAAGCAAAAATGAACTACTGGGATTTCATCAAGAAGAAAAGCTTCTGCCACAGCCAAGGAAACAGTTGACAAAAAGGCAACCTACAGAATGGGAGAAGATATTTGCAAATGTCTTATTAGATAAAGGGCTAGTATTCAAAAATCTATAAAGAACTCATTAAACTCAACACCCAAAAAGCAAAAAAAAAAAAACCAAAAAAAAAAAACAAAACCCAGCTAAGAAATGGGCAGAAGACATAAACATTCTCCATAGAACATATACAAATGGTTAACAGACACATGAAACAATGCTCAACATCACTTAGCATTAGGGAAATACAAAAAACAAACAAACAAAAAAAAAACAAAACCCAGCTAAGAAATGGGCAGAAGACATGAACATTCTCCATAGAACATATACAAATGGCTAACAGACACATGAAACAATGCTCAACATCACTTGGCATTAGGGAAATACAAAAAACAAACAAACAAAAAAAAAACAAAACCCAGCTAAGAAATGGGCAGAAGACATGAACATTCTCCACAGAACATATACAAATGGCTAACAGACACATGAAACAATGCTCAACATCACTTGGCATTAGGGAAATACAAATCAAAACCACAATAAAATACCACCTCACACCTGTCAGAATGGCTAAAATTAACAACTCAAGAAACAACAGATGTTTGTAAGGATGTGGAGATAGGGGAACCCTCCTACACTGTTGGTGGGAATGCAAACTGGTACAGCCACTCTGGAAGACAGTATGGAGTTTCCTCAAAAAGTGAAAAGTAGAACTACCCTATAACCCAGAAATTGTACTAATAGGTATTTATCCAAAGGATACAAACACTGTGAGTTGAAGGGGCCCCTGCACCCCAATGTTTCTAGCAGCAATGTCTAAAACAGCAAAAATATGGAAAGAGTCCAGATGTCCATCAACAGATGAATGAAGAAAATGTGAAAAATATATACATAGTGGAATATTACTCAGCCATCAAAAATAATGAAATCTTGCCATTTGCAACGATGTGGGTGGAACTAGAGGGTCTTAGGCAAACCAAAATACGTCAGTATGAGACAAATACCATACGATTTCATTCAGATATGGACTTTAAGAAATAAAACAGATGGGGACGCCTGGGTGGCTCAGTTGGTTAGGCGGCTGCCTTCAGCTCAGGTCATGATCCCAGCATCCTGGGATCGAGTCCCATATTGGGCTCCTTGCTTGGCAGGGAACCTGCTTCTCCCTCTGTCTCTGCCTGCCTCTCTGCCTACTTGTGATCTCTCTCTCTCTGACAAATAAATAAATAAAATCTTAAAAAAAAATAAAACAGATGAATATAGGGGAAAAGAAGAGAAAATAAAAGACAGAGACAAACCATGAGAGTCTCTTAAGTATAGGAAATAAACAGGGTTGCTGGAGGGGAGGTGGGTGAGGGGATGGGGTAACTGGGTGATGGACATTTAGGAGGACACTTGATGGAATGAGCATTGTGTATTATATACAACTGATGAATCACTAAATTCTACCCCTGAAACTAATATATGTTAAATTGAATTTAAATAAAAAATTTAGAAAAGAAAAAAGTTTAATCATGTCCTGGCATTTGAATAATATTTCAAAGTTCTTTTCAGTCAACACTTTGAATAACCCACTGATTTCACCCATCCAGTATGGCTCTTGCTGTCAGTTGGGCTCTTTTTCCTTGATAGGTGATCTCTTGCAGATTCCAGAATTTTCTGTTCACTGTCATTTTCAATTTCGGATTTGCTTTTCCTTTAATGCCCCATTTTTAACATATGGGTCCTTTCTAAGGTCATTTTCTTATTTTTTTAAATCTTGAGAAACTTTCCTATTATCCTTTTAAATATTTTCTTCTATTTTAATTTTTCTCTCCTTCTGGAAATGCTAATATCTAGATAATGACAGTTCTACTCTTCAACCTCAATTTTATTATTTCACTTTCTATTTTTTTATTCTTTTTTATTCTTTCCTTGGAGAGTTTGTCAATCTGCTATTACAAGTTGCTAATTCATCAAGTAGTATATATCCATCCTGCTATTTTCCTATTTATTGTGACTTATTTCTTGTTCACGTGGTTCTTTTTAAAGATCATTTGTTACTGTTGTATTCTGCAAATAGCTTCCCTTAGTTTTTGGGATAGTGAAACAATTTTAAAGTGAATTTACAGACATGTTTTTGACATATATTAGAGCAAAATTGTACTTAGTGTGGGGTGTGGCTGTAATGTTTTTACTATCATGTGGGTTAGAATCTGTGAAGGAAAGAATGCCTATAGACTCCAAAAATCAAACTGTTCTTGCTCCTCATAAAGGCAGGATGCAGTAAGGTCTAATCAAAGGGGTAAAAACTAGGGGCTTCTGGAAAACTAGTGTGTCAATAATAATTAGAGATAGTAAAGGAGATTGTTTGGAAGAGTCTGTATTTGACAAGAGATTGTACTGGGGTCTTCTGTATTCAACAGCTGTCCCATAATGGCTTATCGAACCAATATGAGTTTATTAAAAGGCAACTTTTTTTTTTCCTCCAAATATAAACATTTCACTTGTTTGGATGATATGTATATGTAATAGCAAGAGACTAACTTGCTATCATTTTAATCTTTGTTCTTTCTCTTCGCTGAAGCTAGAAATTACTTCAAAAATCGTTGGTCTAACTACAATATATAAACGAAAGCCTCAATCAGGCACGACTCTAATCTGAGAATCGAAATTTTCAGTCTTTTCTTCCTTAACAGTAAGCCCAAAGAGTGTGGGCGTTAACAGTCGGTCCTTGAGCTCTCCCTGGTCGGCCGGCCGTTGCAGGTGACTGAGCTAAGCCACCTCCAGGGGCAGCAGAGCGAGCGGAGAGCCCTGGGCTTTACAGAGGCGCCGCAGGCGCTTCCCTCTCCGGGAGCGCACTGGCCCCCGCGCTCCGCCGTCCTGCGCGAGCTGCGCCTCCAGCTCCGCAACGCTTCAACTGTTGTTACAACGCCAGCCCGACTCCAAGACAGCGAAGCCATGTTCCTTCTTCTGGTCCTTCTCACCCGACTTGGAGAGCTGCACGCAGATCCCGGTAAATCCAGATGCTTGTTACCTCTTGCTAGCCAGGCTTGCGGGGGGCTGGGGGCGAGGGCGGGGGCGGGGCGGACTGCCTTCGCTTAGAGACTATATGCTTTAGTCCAGCCACAGGCCCAGACCTTACCCCGGCCCCACGCTATCCCTACCCACTTTCTTCTAGGCCCTCTTCGGCGTCTATGGCCAAAAAAGCAGAGGTAGCCTCCAGGCAGAAAATATTTTCACGACTCTGGGATGGTATTCTTGTCTATAAAACGGACAAAAATGAAATAATGGGGTCATTAACACAGACAGAATTTTGCTATTCTGGAAATAATTGAATCGCCATAAAAAACCTATTTGTTAGTGATTCCCTGATTTGGTGACTGCTGTCCTCCACCCGCTCCATTGAAAATTGCAGATGACTATTGCATTTGGTATCCTGTATCTTTACCCTGCAAACCATCCCATTTTCTTGAACCTGTGTTTCTCTTTTCCACACCTCTTTTACAATATCATAATTTGTTATTCGGTGTTACCTAGCCAAACTGTCAAAATTGCCTAACTGGGGGGTCTCTCTCTCTCTCTCTTTCTCTCTCTATGTGTGTGGGCCTATCTGTGTGTAGAGATTGAGAGAGAGAGAAAATAAAAACTTGACATCTTGACGAGGGCCAAGAAATTTGTGGGTAAGAACAACCAGATCAGAAATACAGTGGAAAAGAAGGGTAGATACATAGACTATACCAAAATATTTTGGTAATGTAGAAAAAAGAAATGTGGGATTGAATTTAGAAATGGATAATGTAGGAGTAGGTTGAAAATAACTGCCTATTTTTATTTTAGGTCCTCATAAAACATTTCTGCAGACCACAGTTCCAGAGAAGTTCTCATCATTTGGTACAAAAGGAAATCCAGAAAATAATGTAATTGGGAAATGTTTTTATATCTTAAATTGTGTTAAGTTGCCTTTACTATCAAGACCAAAGTTTCTGAATGGAGGCAGGAACAGAATTCTTGGAGGTAGAGCTGGCAGCTGGAACTTGGTTCACAACAAGGAGCAATTTGAAGTGTATGAATATGTGTGACTTTCTATGTGTGTGTTTCTGTAGATGTGAAGGATTTTAAGGATAGGATCCATCAGGGCCAGAATGAGGGAGAAGCAGACAAAGCACTTGACTCAGAAAATTTAAGGGAATGGCAAAAAATGAATTTCCCCAGGACCAGGATTAAGGTATAGCCAGTGGGGTAAGTCAGGGTCAGATACTGTCTTTCTTTAAAGCTTGATAACTAGTTCATCATGGATTTTTTTCCTCTAATTTTGATTGTCTAAAATATAGTATTGAAATAGTATTCTTTTTTTTTTTTTTTAATTGAGTTTTGCGGTCCTCTACTCCTAGCCCTCATGATTTCCTTCAACTATTTGCCTCAGCTTTCAGAGTCTGTGAGGAGCCTGAAAGATGATCTGTTAATTAGCTCATAGAGGAGCCTGGATATTATTCTTCTCTATTTCCCCAGGAAAATCTACTTCTCACATGGTTCCTTCTACCATAGGATAATCTAATGCTAGTCATAATTGCAGGTCCCCAAATTAATTTTTTTTCTTTTTCGTGGTTTTTAAAACCTTCTTTCTGTGTTTTACATAAGGATACACTGTATCAGGGTTCTCCCTCCCCTATTATCTCTAGTTCTCTGAAGGTAAAACTCTCCTCCCCATATTCTATTTCTTTACATTTTCTTTCTGAGTAGGGGGTTTTAATTACCACCCACCCTCCCCTGCCCCCACCTACCACCCACCAAGTGAATTCTCAGTCATGCAAAGTATATGAGTGCCACTCCAGGGGGTTTTGTGTTGTTGTTGTTGTTGTTGTTGTTGTTTGTTTTTTTTCTGATTGGAAAGAAGGAGCTCCATTGTACTTCTTGTTTAGTTTCCTTCTTCCTGTTATTAATAATCCCAACCTTCTCTCTCTTTTATTTATCACTGAGCACAGATGATCTTTGAGTTCACCACTTGTCCAATCTCTAGCATTTTTAAAAAGTAATTTAATAATATGAAAGTTCAATGTGTTTCTTTTAACTTTAACAATTTTAAAAGCTTCCTTTTAATATTTTTGCAACAGAAAAATATTCTTAATGTGGAATGTGATTGTATTTTAATATATTCAATATAATATGAGGGAGGACCTGCAAAAGTAAGAATGCCTGGAAGGCACTTAGAGACCTCCCAGATTTAAGAAATAAGAACATGGGTACCCAATTACTGAATTATTTCTAATTGCCTATGCATATGTACAAAAAGATAAAAAAGAAGTATTGCATGGGGCATACTAAATAATTTTAAATACTAAAAATTATTTGTTGTTCGTCTGAAACAAATTATAAGTATTGTTGATTAAGAAAAGAGGTGGAATTGAACCATAAGAAAAGCATTTATTTGGGGTCTCAGAATTGCATTTCAAGAAGCACAGATTCAGTAGCAACCCAAATTGTGTCCCCCCAGGGAACAACAAAAAAAGGGTTTTAAGACAAAAAGGGGTGCTCCTATATGTTGTTGACAAAGAATTTTGATTAGTGTTAATGACAGAAAACTAATCTTGGCTGAATAGAATTGGTTGCTAAGACCATCACTAAGCAAAGCCTCTTCCTACAGCAAGTGTTTGATCTGAGTTATTGGAATATCAGCAGTTTGGCCCTGTTCACAGCTGTGGCCTAGTTCAGACATTCATGGTTCCACCCTGTGAAGATATGCATAAATCCCATTTCCTTAATGTCTTCCTGGATCCATTTTAAAGCCCCTTGACATAAGTGACTCCATTTGATTTCACCTTTCACAGTATCTAAATATGTACTTCTTTCTTGAATTGTATTTCCCTGATGATTTGACTTGCCTTATCAGTTCCTTGTTTTACAGAATTTGCTTATAAAACTCCTTGAAATTATTCCATTTAAATTGTAACATAGTTTCTACAGTGGTCACATAAAATTTATTTCATTCTTTTTCTCAATGAACATTTAGTGGTAAACAAAACAAAACCCACTGGGCATTAGCACTGTGAAGTTAACAACTCTCATCATTGTTCTTAGCTTGCTTTTGCATTCTTCACCATTATGTTGTATCTCTTAATTTTAAGACAATCTTTTAAAATGTTGCCTATTGACAAAACCAGAATATTGTCATCAAATTTTATTGCCTTCTTCTTCAACACTACACAGGATGATTCTACTTCTTCCCATGCTGGAAAACTATTTAATAACATCCAGATAAAAGAACTGAGTCCTTCAAGGGATTAGAACATTTCCAAAGATAGAGCAAGTGCCGTACCAATTATCCACTTCAAGTTGGAGTTTCTCTTCCTATTCATAAAGAATATTTTCCCTTTTGAGAATAGACTTGACACCAGAGGGATGCATTTTGAGGACAGGGCTCAATTCTTTCTTCAGCACAATTTTATACAGGGGAACACTCCAGTATCACTGTTTGCTCTTCTTTCAGTTTGCGAAATCCTATTGCTAAAGAGATAACTCTGAACAAGAAGGACGTAGGCCTCACTCACTGAGAGATTATTTTAAAACTCAACAAGAATATTTTGGGCCTTGTTTTAGAATTAAAAGCATGATTTCAGTGCTTCAAATAAATCGAGGATTCTCCCAACTGCAATTGTTCAAGAGAGCCAACAGTTTTGGTTAATGCAAGAGAATTGAAGAATATTGAACATCAGCAAAATCATATCATAAAAACCTTTCACTAACTTCAAACAGCATAGATGATGAAGCAAGAGAGCAATATCTTGACAATAACCTCACTGTCAAGGGAAAGGGCATCAGGTGCTCTTTGATATGGCAAGGACAGACAGCACCTTAGAATCATTCATGTTTTCCTTCAGTTTCTCTCTCTCTCTCTTTTTTTTTTTAATTTATTTTTGCAAGAGAGAGAGAGAAAGAGAGAGCATGAGAGAGAGCACGAGTGAAGGGGAGGAGCAGAGGGAGAAGAAGACTCCCCGTCAAGCAGGGAGCCTGATGAAGGACTTAATCCCAGGACCCTTCCTCGGTCATGACCTGAACTGAAGGTAGATGCTTAACCAACTGAGCCACCCAGGTGCCCAGCTTCAGTTTCAAATAAACATTCTCTGCATATTTATACAAACACCCACAAAGTTGTTTTTTGTTTTTTTGTTTTTTTTTTACTTATATTACCTCCACAAAAGCAGTACAGTTTTTCTCATTAACTCAGTAAGGGAGTCTCAGCAACAAGTCTCAGCAACAAGTTTGCTCTTGTCTTTGAGTTCTTCTTTGGAAGGGATTTTACTTTCAAATAGCCTTATAAACAGGCTCTGTTATCCTTTGAAAAATCCTGCACAAGCAAAGGAAACATCTTTTCTGCATTGTAGTTACTTGCACCTGAGGCTGTGCCCTAACAATTAATGTGTGTAGATCTCTGATGACTTACATAATTGCATGGAAAGCCATTATAATTCTTTAATTATCACAGTGGATTTCAACTGGGCACCTGAAATTTTGCTTGCAATTTTGGAGTCAGAAAATACTTCTGGTAATTATACATTCAAATAGTCATCTAAGTAGATAGATTGATCATACACTGTGTGCAAAACCATTATAGTGTATGTTGCAATTCTTGTATCTTTCCAATTCTTAACCCTCAAAGAAGGTGTTGTATCACCTTCTTTGATACTATATTAGGAAATCACTCATCTCTTTTGCTTAGCCATTGGTATGTGTAGGTTTATATTTGACTTTCCACCATTTTTTATGTTAAACACACTTACGAAGAACTTCAAAGGGACCCTTTACCCCGTTGATAAAATTGTATAGAATTTTGGCATTTGGGATTTAAAATATACATGAAAAATAGATAATAGTCCAAGATATTTAAAAAAGAAATGAAAATATTGAATTTGATGATCTCACAGCTGTGCCAGTGAATCTGTCACAAGTCCAAATTCATAGCTAATCATAAACGAGTTGAACCATTGAAAGGGTTGCAAACTTGTAAAACAGACAATACACTGAACTTGATATGATTCAAAAAAATAATGAGCTTCCAGTTTACCTGTAAGGGCCAGTTGTAAACATAGCCTTCCTGAACAAACCCAGAGCTAATCTCACAGAAGGTTTGGAAAGGCTCATTTTCAGGGATTAGTGGGCTTTCAGAAGGGAGAATGTTTAGGTATGGACATGCTCTCAACTGTGTTAATGTACTTGGTGGAGTAAGGCTCTTGTTGATCACATCTTCAGGGGAGTGAGGCATTTACTGGATGCTTCCCTAGGGTCTAGGGCTCTTACTGATTTGCTGACTTCCAGAAGCTAGTTATTTGTGTGTGGCTGTTGGTGACTGGCTGGTTTTCTGATTGTGTGCTCTGCCCAATTCTAACAGTGTTTACTTGTCCACGACTTGGGACTTTGGCCAAAGAAAGCCTTTCTCTTTCTTGAATATGAAAAACAAATATTTTTAATTCTGAGTCTCTCCTTTTGGATTTCCCTCAGACAAGTCTACATGGAGAGTTGAGAGATCACATAGGTCTTTATTTCTGAAGGGATGATTTTTGGCTTGTATTGCCATTTAAATGATTTAAACACCAGATATTGTAGTGGAAAGATCTCAGACTATGAAAGTTTTATAATTTATTGAAAAAAGCTGAATATAGAATATTTCAGGTGCTCTGACAAGGTCAGTACAGAGCACAGGATAAAAATTGTTAAACTAAGGACATATCCATATGACAGGATGCCTTGCAACTCTAAACACACACCAAGTTCTATTTAGGAATGAAAAAGAAATAATTTACTTGCACACTTCTGAGTGTCCTAAATGATATCTTTGAGTTAGATAAAGGAATTAACGGCAGCCAAGGCTTGTTGTTGCAAATCCTCACATGATTTGATCAAATAGAACACTCATCACCAGCTG